TGTGTGTGTGTGTGTGTGTGTGTGTGTGTGTGTGTGTGTGTGTGTGTGTATTGGGAGAGAAGATTCTTTCCAAATATTCCGTACTCCAGCAGTCCCCAACTATATCTTTGTGCCTTCCTGCCAATATCTGGCTTGCTACGAAAATGTCACTTTTGGCACTACAGCAGGGATGTGCAACCTCTGCAAGTTTGTAGACTTCAACTCCCAGAATTCCCCAGCCAGCATGGAATTCTGGAAGTTGAAGTCCACAGATCTTAAAAGTTGTCAAGGTTGGATAGCCCTGCATTACAGTATCCCTTGGAAGTCCTCCAAGGTAGGAATTAAGCAACTTATGTCCGTCTTCATGGATTCTTCTTCCCATCGCTATAACATCCAATTTGTCAAAAATAACCTCTTTTTCATAGGTCAGCAATTTTCACTTCCTTCCCCTACCCCCCCCCCCCCCCAAAGTATTCATATCTGTGATTGTTGTCTTTGGTGCCTTTGGGAATTTTTTATTTTTTACACAATGGAATCTCTACTTTTTTAGAGGGTGATTTGATGCATGACAGTTAACCTTTAATGTTGAAATTAGTGTATGGAATTATTTATTTTGTGTATTCAGTCTGTTTTTAAATTTTGGAACTGTAACCTTTTATTCAGTAAAACGTTGATCCTCATAGAGTGGTGGGTTGTTGTTTTTGTTCTGGTGGGGTATGGTTGTAATACATGGTCTCCAAACTTGGCAATTTTAAGACTTGTGGACTCCAACTCCCAGAATTCCTCAGCTAAACTATGCTGGCTGAGGAATTCTGGGAGTTGAAGTCCACAAGTCTTAAAGTTGCCAGGTTTGGGGGGGCCCTGCTCTAATTAAATGCAGTTTTTTTTTCAGGTGAGGACCTGCATTTCTGAACTCAAATTAATGGATGAGGATAAAAACAATTGTTTGAAAATGATTGTAGATAATATGCATTCCTGTATTCAATAATTTTCCCCATCTATCAAACCTTGAAAGAGAAAAGGCTGGAACTGCTACTGGCTTATATATATATTTTAATAGACATTGAGGTATGTTTTATCAAATCCTGTGAGATGGGACACCACTTCTGAAATTGTCTCCCGTTTTCCATATTTGCAGTGGTTTAACGTTTTGATGTCCAATCAAATACTTAAAGCATGACAAAATAGGGACAAAATAGCTTATATGTGGAGCTATTTTACCAAAAGCTTAGAGATGCCAAAGCACAATGGGAGATTTTCAGTCAGAGTCTAAACCGTGACTATGTTTTTTTTAAAAAAAATAGTTTAAATTAAACAGCTGGAATTAGCTCCAGAATTCTGGTATGGACTCTTGAAGAAAGTTACTATTGGTAGTCCTCGAGTTACGAATGTAATGGAGTCTGCCACTTACATTTGTAACCTGAGGAGTCATTGGAATGAATCACGTAAAATGAATGTGAAAACTCCCTGCCTTTTCCCACACATTTGCTAATCGAATGCTTGGGTTGTTAAGTGCACATGAGGCATCTCAGGGTAGGGAAGGCCAATGGGTGGGGTGGAGGGCTAGTGATGGAATAGACCACTTGCTTAAGGCCACCCAAGTCCTCCCTTGACCCACTGAGATACCTTACGCTCCCCACAGTTGCTTTCCCCGCCCCTCTTGCCGCATCGGCAAAGATCTTGTGAACTGTCTCCACCCTGTCTGCTGCGGTTTCTTTGCCTCCTCCCAGGCGCTCCAAAAGCACAGCGGTGAGAGCAGAGGGAGAGAGGGGACAAGGGCGCCCTGCTCGGCTTCTCCGCTTTTGCAGAGAATGGGTGTCTGAAGTTGTGTGAGATCACAGCCCCCCAGAAGCTTCCAGTCTCGGCCAAAGTGTTTGCAAGCTGATGGGACGCTTCAAAGCAACGCGACTTCACTGCCCCAAAGCCTCCCGTTGGCAAGACTGGAAGCTTTGGGGGGGGGGAGACTCACAGAAGCTGCCCACCATTTCAGAAGTCAGAGACAGAGTTGTTAAGCAGGGCGTGAACATCCTCCTCTCACCGCTCTGCTTTTGGAGTGCCAAGAACAGGCAAAGAAATTGCGGCAGAGAGGCTGGAGAGGAGATAGCTCACTAAATCTTCGCAAGGCGTATCCACAGGCCCAGGGAGAATGGAATAGGCAATGTTGTGGTTCACCGGCAGCCTGTGCAGACGGCAGTGGAATCGGACAGTGGGGAAGAATGGGGACCAGTCTGGAAGTCTGGAGAGGATTCGGATGAGGGTCCTGCATCCAATGCAGAGATGGGGCCAGGATCATCTGGGAGTGGGGTGCTGCCTCCGGAGCTTTTGGAGTATGGCAGCAGCGAGGCAGAGGACCCAGGGGAGCCTGTTCCCAGTATGCATATGCGCAGAGCTGCTAGAAGGCGAAAGCAGCTGAAATAAAAGGACCAACTCGAGAGTAAGGCTGGGAGGTGATTGCCCCTCCCATAAGGTATAAAGGACAGGCCAAGATGACGAAAACTTTGCAGGAAGCAAAGTCGTTCGTTCGGTTCAGATTCACTCTTGAAGCTCTTTGTACTTCGGTTGGTTTTCTTTCTAGTTCATTTGACATTTTTGTTATTGGCAGCACTTCACAGGAAAGAAAGGTGGGTGCTTATCTCAAGGGACTGAAATTCATTACCCACTGGGAATGAAAATAATTCCCAGCGTTGCAATAAAACAAGACTTGTTTTTAAAATAAGCGTGTGTGTAATTACGGTCTCAGAAGCCTTGGTCAGAACAGGCAGGGGGAATGGTGCAGTGCCTCTGTGGTCGTTCATAAGGGTGAACGACCACTGTGGGGGTCCAACATTCGTAACCTCGGGACTGTCGTAAGTACTTTGTTGGGGGAGGGGTTTATGTTGTAACTTTGAACAGTTGCTAAGTGAACGGTTGTAACTCAAGTGTAATTTATTTCATTTTATTATGACAGATGATCATTGGAGGAAGATTTTTTTTCTTTGAAATGAAAACGGATGTGTTTTTTTCCATGGTGGGGTGGGGGGCGGAATCCCAGTGACAGCATTTGTCTTGTGTTTCCCATGGGTGTCATCAATTTCTAGCTACTGTTTGGTCAATCCAGTTGCGGAATTTGGAGACGCGGGCGTAGACAGCAGGAGTCCAGACGTTACAGTTGGGGCTTCCCCAGGAGACGATCCCAACCAGAGACCAGCTTGAGCCTTTCTGGCATACCAGAGGACCACCAGAATCACCCTAAAAGGAAAATGCAAATGCTTTTAAGAAAACTCTTTTTTTTAAAGCCTAGGGTCAGAAAAATTAACCAAGGAGGAGCCCAATTTGTACCAAAGGTGCTTTTTTCAAAAGGCGATTGGACTTCCTTTGTTTATCCTTGAAGGCCTTTTGTTTCTCACCCAAGAAGCTTCTTCAGTCCTTCAATCAGAAGCGAAGAAGCTTCTTGGATGAGAAGCGAAAGGCCTTGAAGGAAAAAAAACAAGGAAAGTCCCAGCTGCCTTTTGAAAAAGCACCTTTGGTGCAACCATGGCCTGGATGACTGAGAATCTCCATAGGCAGCCCAATTTGTACTCGAATAAGACTCTTCTGGAGAAATCAAGGATTGCAAACTACCCTGGAAAACTGAAATAGTGTCCTGGAGGAAGTCAGCAGTGGTCGACCATTTTTGTTTGGCTGCCAAGAAGACCATAGAGTCCTGTCCTTGATGCCACCAGGAGTTGACCTCAACCCAAAGGAGATGAATTTGACCTTAAAAAGCCATTTGAAACTCTTCAGATCATGGTTGGCACTCTGATATCCTTTGAGTGAGTGGAACTCTTAAGACCTCCTCCACAGTGGTGGGATTCAAATTTTTTTTCTCCCGGTTCTGTGGGCGTGGCAGGGGAAGGGTACTGCAAAATCCCCATTCCTTCCCCACTCCACTAACCTGCTTTCCAGCTCCGTTCTCCTGTGCAGGGCAACAAAAGGAGACCCAGCCAATCAGATGGGACTCAATGGGAGGCGGAGAATAGATGGGGGCGGAGCTAGTCAGAGGTGGTATTTGCCGGTTCTCCAAACTACTCAAAATTTCCACTACCGGTTCTCCAGAACTGGTCGGAACCGGCTGAATTCCACCTCTGCTCCTCCAGTAGGGCCAAAGGTATGAAAAACCTGAAGAATATTACTGAGTGCATTTCTCTACCAAACTAAATCCAGGGCTGGATCAAAGAACCTCCCTCTCACAGTTGAATATGCTCCTGTACTGTCCAGACAGTATGGAGTTAATGGGATTTGGGATAGTTAGGATTTGAGAGTTGTCCCCTTAAGGGAATGCATCATGGTAAATGGAGTTAAGGTATCCTGGGAAATGTAGTCCATGTCATGTGGCCACATCTGTAATCCTGAT